AAATTGTTCTCTCCAATAAAATTCTCTGTGCCACACATTTTTTTGACGGTCCCTTGAGATTTTTTGTTGGAGATTCACTGGTACTACTGCAGTAGAATGTGCCGTAATTATCATATTCTATAATTTCTATAAGTGATAAGCTCAAATAGAAGAAACCAGTGTTGATTCAGATTATTTAATCCGTGACCAAAAGATTATACTGCATATGTTTCCTGTTCCAGTGTCTCGTTGCGGCGCCCTCTGCCGGTCATTATGGGAAATCTGAAGCCACGCCTTCCCAGCGCAGTAAATAAAGCGCCAACCAAGCCAACTGGGTGTAATAAAGCTCATCCTCATACAACCCGCACGCAATCACGGACCCGACCCCAAAAGCGAAAAAAAATCCGAGAGAAAAAGAATAAATGAATAACTCTACAAAGAGGGTTTCAGGTTTTCCCCCTTTCTTACACAAGGGGCAGTTCAAAAGTTTTTCACTGCATGCTGGAGTTATTTGGGAACCCAAGTTTCTGACTGACTCTCAGCAAAACTCACTCATCTGACTTGTGAAAGTTAAACGAGACCTATTTCCAGTGAGAAACTTGCATCATTTGAACCCTATTAAGCCAATTTAGTGAATTTTGGAAGAACAGAAAATTTTCTCTGAGAAGACTTTCCTTTCCGGCAAGAAAAGGCAAGGGGAATGAATTTTACATTATTTGAACCCTTTTGAGCAAATTCAGTGAAATTTGGAAAAAAAGAAATTGTGCAAAAATTCAAATTTCCATCCAGCAGAAAAAGATAGGAAAACTTCTGAATGGGTTTTATTCATCTGTTTCATTTGGGGCCAGTAAAGAACATCTTGTTAAATTAAAAAATGCCTTGTAAAAATAAACTCAATTGAAATTGTGGCAAATGGGTGTAAAGGAGCTAGAAGAAGGAATTTGTTGTAAGCAATCACTGCTCATACATATGTTGTCATGCAATTTGACCCTAACTGTTGCTGGAATAGGTTCTAAGTGTGACGCTAGCTGTTGAATTATTAGACTACATCAAATGCAATGTTTTCTAGATTGGATTTGACATTTTGCATCTCTATGTGTTGTCAAATTGCAGGACAGAGGTCAAATTGAGAGTCAATAACCTCCCAGCAAATTTGGCCATCAAAATTGCTGGACAGACAAATTGGATGGTGGTTGAATTGGAAGGTGTTACCTATAATGAGATTCTACTTTATATGAGCTGACTTGAATTGGGACTATAGACTAATGAATATCAAAGTACTGGAGAATGAAACCCTTTTCAGAAATCTCTGGCTCTCCAAAAGTAGATTTCCATGCAGGTGGATGGAATTATGTTATTGGGCCCAACCTTGTCAGACTGGAATAATCTTGCTGCAAATTGAATTTGTTGCAGAAAATTGCCCTCTGGAATAACCTTATATTGCTTTTATGTAAATTATTACCCAAGATGTTGGGACTTCAGGGATTTTGGGCTGGTTGGTCCATAGTTTTGAAGTGGCAGAAAATTTTTTCACTTAAGTTTGTTTCAGTACAGAGGCTTGAGAACTGTAATCCAGTGTTGGAATGATGATGTTATTCTAACATCCATATGTGCAATGCTTCTATTCTTATCTCTGGAAACTGATCCAGCTTTCTTTTTCTCTCCATGTCAAAAACCCCACAATACATCTATGTATGTTGAACAGCACTCAAAGGCTCAAATTTCACCAAACTTCTGAACAAGCCCCTTTTTTCTCTTCTGCCTCCATGAAGTGTGATGCAAGTCCCTGGATGCAACAGCTTGGTGGCGTCAAAGGTCCTCAAACGCTTTTTCCCTCCTTCCTTTCAACTTCCTCGTTTGTTAATCTTTGCCTTTCCTTTTTCCTCTCCCTTTCAGATTCTTCATTTCCGACGTACTTCTCTCGCCGGGATTATTTCGGAATGTGAGCGATCTTGGCAAAACACGAGCTCTAGTTGCAGATTTAAAAAAAAATTTATTTCAGTCACAATAGATGAATCCTTTCAGTAAGTGGAAGTGTCGAAAGTTGGGCTACTGGGTTAAAAAAGAAGTTTGGCTGGGCAATGTATTATATTTGATTGACAAACCGTTTGTATTTCCATTCCTGGCAGCCGGAGTAAAATAAAATGAAAATTCAGTGAGACACTATCCCCTCTTTGTTTGTTTCTTGAATGCTGTGGATTTTCTTTTTTTTTTTGCGTCAGCTCAAAAAACATTGTATAACCAAAATTGGCGGATTTTGCTGTCATGAAAAAATTATTTTTTGGCAGCACATTTGGTGAGTATAAAATGGCGGAATTTACTGGACTCAGAAAAAAAAATCAAAAGAAGCAAAATTTTTACAGTGGTGTTCATTATTTGAGTGGCGTTGGTTTTTGGTTTAAAAAGTTTTTTGATGTGTTTAGACAAAGTAAAGCCTTGAGCCCTTCAAGTTGTTGTTCTTAAAAAAAAATTTCATCGGCTTTTTTTTCGCATGGAAAGTTGTAGAGTTAATATTTGAGGAGTGCAAGTAGGCGAAGTTATTTTTGTTCAGAGTGGTGGTTTTGTATCCAGTTTTAAATACATATTATTCTTTCTTTTTCGAAGGACAGGCCTGAAGTTTGGCTTCTTTGGTGGATTGAGGTGACCTGAGGTCAAGGCACATCCCATTCGTCTTCATTCCCTCGGGGGTAATACGCTTTACCTTTTTTTCCCCCTCTTCGTTTATTTTTTTTCTTTCAGCGAAATATTTAGTAGAGAATTTCTGGAGATGAATGGGGGAAAATCCGTGTAGTTTGTGTCTTGGGTTATTGCTCAATAGTTGCTTTTGGGAGGGGATTTCCTGCTTCAAACGCAGGAAACAAGCTTGGGTCAGGTTGAGACTAGAATTTGTTCTTTGTTTCACTTCTGTATCTTTTTTTTTTTCTTAAGTTTGGCATTCGTTTGAGCACCATTTTTTTTTTTTTTCAAAGGATTGAGATTTTGGGAGTGGATTTCCTGCGTCTGCGCATCATCAGGAAAAAAGTTTGGGTCAGGTACGGACTAGATTTTTGCTTCATTTATTTTTTACTTTTCTCAATTCTTTCTTCAAGCATCACTTCTTCTTTTCCATTACGAAATCTAGATACTGCAATGGATTATTTTTTTCAAATTAGGGTGTGATTTCAAGTTTGTTCATCTCTGTATCATTGTACCTTGTTTTACATTCACAGAAAGAGAATACACCTACAGTGAGACCCCAAGATGTGGACATAATTGGTACATCAAGAGTGTCCTGATGTCAGAATGTCCCTAAGTTGAGTCTCATTTTCCCTTAGACTTCAATGTTGATGCATTTAATTGGCTTTCCTTTTTGTCAAAAATTAGGAATAAGTTTTCAAAAAATTTAATAAAAGTTGTTTCCCTCAACTTCAAGTTGTGGAAAACAACAGTGCAGAACACAACCACACATAGAATCTGATCTTTTGGTATCAAAAGGAGATCATAAAGCAAAGGAAAAGAATAAGTCTTGCTAGAACAATTCACAGATGATAAGAAAAAAAAACTTATAAAAAAGATGCACAAAATCAGCTTGCCCTTGATTATGAATTAGAGTGAATTCATCGTGACATATTTTTTCAATTTTTGTGAATATAAATAGCTTCAATTTTTCAAAAGATGCTTTCCTGCTCTGAAGTGATTAAATGTCATTGAGTGGATTTGGGTTGCGTAGGAAGGGGGTTTGGTTGTGGAAATCTTGATTGCACCTTGTGAATGCTGAAAAGCGGCAAATAAAGTGTTCTGTTCATTCATTCATTCAAAAGATATCAAAATTCAAAAAAAATGTTTGCTTTTTTTTGGAAAATTCCAGAAAAGTGTCCCCAACTTGAGCCAATGTCTGGATGATATTGTGCCTGATTTTTTTTGGTTTTCAAGTGTCCCTAAGTCAAATTTTCCATATGTTGGGGGTGTCTGCATTTGATTTCATTTAGAACAAAGAAGGATTGAAATTTCCACTTGCTGGTAAATTATAAATTACGTAATTTACTGGAAATGAAGTCTCGCAATCAATTTTTTCTTTTTGTTCTCAATGAGGGTTTTCTTCATTTTTAAAAGCAATTTTTTGGTCTGCTTTTTTTTCAGTTTGGGAAGTCAAAACTATGCTGATCTAATTTCAATAGGATTAAGAAAGATCGGAAATTGTGGAGATGATAATTGAAGGAGGTACTGGATGTGAAATGTTCGGAGAGAAATTCATTGCAAGTATTTGTCTGAACATACCCAATGAAGAATAGAAGAAATGGGTACTTGCCGAAATGCAGCAAAGGGTCAAAAAGGGTACTTTTTTGAGCGATGGAGTTCAATAACTGGATCCAAACTTTTAAAACTCAGGAGCCTGGCAAAAATTGCTGTGCAAGGAAGAATGTAGTAATTTATCTGCGAGTTAATTTGTGCAAATGACCATAGTAATAATTTTCCTTCATGCATAATGACCAGACATTCCATAACTACAAGAAAATTGGCTGCAAGAAAGATTATTATCTCAATCTTTAGTCACACAGGAGGGATTGTTGAATTTTAAATTTTATCGATTCCTGTCGTTTTAGAATTTGTTTTGTTATTTAAAAAAATAAATTCAAAAAATTGTTCCCCAAATGTCGCCAAAAACTGGATAAAATAAAATGTACAATATTTTCTTCCAGGGTAGATATGCACAAGTAAAAGTATCGATTTAAAAATTTCTTAAACAGCTTTTATAATAATGGTGTCCCAGTTTAATTTAAAATGTGGGAAGTTTAAAAAAATATACAGCCAGCTAAGTTTTTTCTGTTTTTACTCAACAAAATTGTATCTCCACTTTCAATGAACATAATTTTCTCTTTTTATAAGCGAAGCAGACAAATGTAAAGTCAACAATAGTGATAAATGTGCATGAGAAATTACAGATGCGCGTGTTTGAATGGAGTGGATTTTAATTCCCTGTAAAATAACCTTCATGGGCTTGGACTGCTGAAGATGTTCACATTTTAAACATTCTTCAGACCATTTATTTGCCTTTTTCCCCCTTTCATCGTTATGCGCATTCCCCGCACTTTTACCTGCACTTGCTTCTTGGAGTTCTTGAGAAGATAAACATGTAGCAAGTGCTCTTAGCCAGGACATTCGCCACACCTCAGTCCAGCTGAGGGCCATCAGTATTTACTGTTAACAGCTGATTTAATGCAATAGCAATATATAGACACAGACATCCTGAATAACATCCTGGACTGGGTTTGGCCATGTCTGGTTCAAAAGTGGCTCATTCCTGCTGAGAAAGGGGCTTCTCAAAATAGCAGAAACCAGTAAGGGACAGCTGTTGTTGGAATTTGAGGATGAAAACTTTCTTCAGCATCACACAGATTGTGATATTTTCCATGGATGGTATCAAATAGAGTTGAACCTCTCCAAGTCAAATTTCAAATAAGGACCAGCAAAAAAAGCAACGTAGAGAGGCTGTTGAGGATCAAAAAATCATCAACAAAGAAGGTGATTATTATTGACAGTCAAACAGAACCATCAGCCTGGGACTGGCTGGGAGCCTCATTAGAGGCTATAAATAAAGAAATTAGGACTTATTTTGTCCTGACACATCATTCAACTCAGAATTTTTTGAACTCACACATGAATACTTTCACACAACACAAGTATAAATTCAGACAAGGATTTGAGTAGGATTTAGTGCATTGTTTTGAGCTCATTACATTTAAAGTTAGGCAGTGGAGTGTGGTTAGAATGTGCATCTTTGGGAGGAAGGAGGACAGTTTTTTCCTCCTACAAACTTTCAACATGTCATTTATGTTTCATTTCAACCCCAGCCATAAGAACAAAATCTTCTCATTGAAAGTTTGTCTGATAGAGTTTACATTCTTAACATTAATCAATCTTTTGGAAAAAGACGTTCTTCCATCAATCAAAAGTGTCTCTAGATAATTCTCTTAGCTAATTTTGACAACACTTGAAGTCAAAGATGATAACATGCATGGTTGTACCAGTCCTTTTGAGCTTGTTCTTTGGTTTTGAGACCAAGGAACAAAAGCACTGGTTCTTGCAGGATGAGATGGGGGAAGATTATTATTGCATTGAATTTTGGGTAGCTGGAATAATTTTGTCAGGCCCAACCTGGTCAGGCTAGAATCTTGTTGCAAATTAAACTCATTGGGGAATATTGCCATTAGGAATAACCTTGCCCTTATGTATTACCCAAGATGTCAGGACTTCAGGAATTTTGGCTGTACAAGGTTGGTCCAGTTGTGAAGTGTGGGAAGTTTTTTACATGTGTTTTTTCTGCGAGAGGCTTGATGACAATAATTTGGTATTGGAATGACAGCGTTATTCCACCATCCCAAATTTCTGCCTGTTGCCACAGTCCATCACAGATACTTCATATGGTAGAGATGAATGGATTAATAATTGAGTTGGATAAATAACAAAATTTTTGTGGGAAAGAATTGCAGGAAATTGATTCTTGAATGAGTTGACAGGATGTAGAACTTGGAGGCACGGGTCTTTTGCCCAAGTAGTCTTTCATTCTGTTTCAAAGTGCATCAAGTGGATTTCTTATCATTTTATCTTTCCTGTGTCAATGAAGTAATAACCAAAAGTCCTTTAAATCAATTTGATTGATTATTTGCTATAATCATTGATTTGAAATGTCCACTGATAGTAAATTTTCAAAATGATAAAAAATGTGTCAATAATAATTTTTCTTCATTTTTTGAGATCTTGGGAAAGTTTCCTCATTCCTGATACATTGTCCAAATGCTGGGACAGATTTGTTGAGTTGAGTCCTAATAGCCAAATTTTCCAGCATTTTTGGATTCTGTTCTGAAACCCCTACTTTTGTGTCAATTTGAAACATTATTTTGAATTGATGATTCTTAATTTATGAGAACAGCATTTTTATTTATCAAGGGAAATGGGATGAAAAAATGGATTAGTAATTTAAAATTTGATAAATGTTTACTGCAAAGAGGATATTGGAGGAGAGTTTTGTCTCCTTGGCATTCTTAATGCGTATTTTTCCATGTTTTATTTAGAAATTATATGAGTACATTCTTGAAACCTAAAATGCATCGAAATAGTCCAGAATTTTCCAATGGATTTCCATTCAATTCAATGCAATGACTTTAAAAAAATAATCATATATATTCTTTATCTGATAAGAACTGCTTCAAGCACATATGGGGTAAATAGAGATGACGGTGACTTTTTACTCTGCCTTTGAAAGTCCAGGGACGCTGATTCGTGTTTTTTTTTTCTTGGGTCAAATGCTTGCATTCTTTGACCCATCTTCAGCCTTGAACGAGGTGACGATGATGACATTAATCATTATCTCAGTAATTGGGAAAGGGGAAAATGGGGGTTCGAATGAATGGCTTCGGCGTACCCGTATCTCATTCGCATCTCGACTTTTTAATTACTTACCTCACGATATTTCTTGATTTTTGATTCATTGATCTTCTTTTCTTTGGGAAAAATCCGGACTTAATAACATACTGTGAATGCTAACGTTTTTTTTTTCCTGCGCGGAATTTTGAAATAATTTTTGTAGGAAGAAAACGCAGCATTTTTCATGAGCAAAAGAAGCAAATTTATATTTTCATAATTAATTTTGCTGGAGTTATAAAAACTGATGGAATGGATTTCGTATTTCTCTTCTTTTGTCAAAAGTCTGCACATGATGCATTAAAAGGGGTATGTTGTTCGTGTCAAAAAATGTCAATTTTGATAGTCTGAAGAAAAAAAATTGCCAAAAATCCTTCAATTTTTGAAACAGAAGATCTGATAAATGTACTCAGATTTGTAGAGAATATTTGGGAGAAGAGCCAAAACTGACATAAAAAATGGAACGTTAAATTTAATCGATGAACTTTTTTATTTTTAATTCAATTTCAGCTACAGTATAATTTTCATTGGAGAACAACAATAGATTTAGAAAGGGTGACATTTATTTTCTTGTAATATTGCGTTTTTATTCTAAACCGTTCCGCAGCCTTACGGAGAAAATCGTTCTGAGCAGTGAAACGCATAATCCCTTGATTCTTTCATCTCAATATTCATTCTGATAAATTTTAAAGCATTTGGTACTTGACAAAAATAAACAAGTGGGTGTTATGCTATTTACAAACCATTCAGTCTAAGCCTAGTTTATGTCCGTAGAAAACCGAGGGTTTTTTCCCTATGATCCTTTTGTTTGATCTTTTCTTGCATAAATACAAATATAATCATATGAGAACTCTGTGAGCTGGTGTAAAAATAAAGCTTAAGCTTGAACCCGTTTTATTCTTCATTGTTTGTTTATAATGTTTGTTTTATTCCGCGCTATATGAGCTATAATACATCAGCAGCTGACGAAACAACTCAGAAATTTTGAAATTCACGCATTTATCGGTTTTCAATTGAACGAAAAGAATCAGTAGAGGTAATTATTGATTTAAAATCGCAGATTGACTTTCAAAATAAAAGCGCAGTATTTCCGGAAAAAAGTTACGTAAGTTCAGAAAAATTAAATCTTTTTAGGTGCTTCACTTTTTTCAAACATTCTTTGACCCATCTTCAGCCTTGAACGAGGTGACGATGATGACATTAATCATTATCTCAGTAATTGGGAAAGGGGAAAATGGGGGTTCGAATGAATGGCTTCGGCGTACCCGTATCTCATTCGCTTCTCGACTTTTTAATTACTTACCTCACGATATTTCTTGATTTTTGATTCATTGATCTTCTTTTCTCTGAAAAAAATCCGGACTTAATAACATACTGTGAATGCTAACGTTTTTTTTTTCCTGCGCGGAATTTTGAAATAATTTTTGTAGGAAGAAAACGCATCATTTTTCATGAGCAAAAGAAGCAAATTTATATTTTTATAATTAATTTTGCTGGAGTTAAAAAAACTGATGGAATGGATTTCGTATTTCTCTTCTTTTGTCAAAAGTCTGCACATGATGCATTAAAAGGGGCATGTTGTTCGTGTCAAAAAATGTCAATTGATAGTCTGAAGAAAAAAAATTTGCCAAAACTCCTTCAATGCTCGAAACAGAAGATCTGATAAATATACTCAGATTTGTAGAGAATATTTGGGAGAAGCGCCAAAACTGACAACATCAAAAATAGAAAGTTAAATTTAATCGATGAACTTTTTATTTTTAATTCAATTTCAGCTACAGTATAATTTTCATTGGAGAACAACAATAGATTTAGAAAGGGTGACATTTATTTTCTAGTAATATTGCGTTTTTATTCTAAACCGTTCCGCAGCCTTACGGAGAAAATTGTTCTGAGCAGTGAAACGCATAATCCCTTGATTCTTTCTTCTCAATATTCATTCTGATAAATTTTAAAGCATTTGGTACTCGACAAAAAGAAACAAGTGGGTGTTATGCGATTTACAAACCATTCAGTCTAAGCCTAGTTTATGTCCGTAGAAAACCGAGGGTTTTTTCCCTATGATCCTTTTGTTTGATCTTTTCTTGCATAAATACAAATATAATCAAATGAGAACTCTGTGAGCTGGTGTAAAAATAAAGCTTAAGCTTGAACCCGTTTTATTGTTCATTGTTTGTTTATAATGTTTGTTTTATTCCGCGCTATATGAGCTATAATACATCAGCAGCTGACGAAACAACTCAGAAATTTTGAAATTCACGCATTTATCGGTTTTCAATTGAACGAAAAAAATCAGTAGAGGTAATTATTGATTTAAAATCGCAGATTGACTTTCAAAATAAAAGCGCAGTATTTCCGGAAAAAAGTTACGTAAGTTCAGAAAAATTAAATCTTTTTAGGTGCTTCACTTTTTTCAAATTTCCCTCACATTCAATGTCATCATGTGGTGCTTGAAGTCTTTGAAAGTTCCTTCGACAATGCGGCGAATATTTTATTGGCGAGCAAAATCCATTCATCCAAGCAAATTTTTCAGCAGTTTTTCAACGGGATATTTTTTTCGGGAATTTTTATTTTTCTACTTTTGAGGAGCAGTATCTTGTAACTGGATCAGTGTTTTTAAAATGGAGAATAAGACGCAAAAATATACTCAAATCGGAAATTTTTTTGCCTGTAAAAACCCGTCGTAATTTCACATGTACTCGAGTACAACGCAAGCACCTTTTTTTCAAATTTTGGGGAAAAATTCATTACGGGGGTATGAAATTTTGTAAGATTGTTGACATTAGAAAAATAAAAACGAGGTAAAGTTGATAAAATTCAGATTCAATTCGGGTCAAAATTAAAATTCGGATGCGCTTCATTTTCAAAATATTGAGCATTTTTTCCACTATAAAAATAGGTTTTTATTTTCATCAAAATTTTAGGCTGAAAAATGCAGGTTTGCATCTTACTCAATATATGATGCATGGTATTCAAATAAGTAATTACTGTATATATGCATTCATCTACGAACAAAGCCAGAGTTGGCAATCTTCTCGTATCCTAAAATTTTCTGCAAATTATAGCGCAACTCTAAAAATCGCATCAAGTAATCCTTCATC